AACCACTACACCAAACACACACACCCCACTAGCACCAGGTGAAAGAAGTAAAAACTTATAAAACTGTACTTTTGTAAATTTCAAAAAAAAAAGTCTTCAAGAAGCGACTGGATTTTCTTAATATCATTTACATGGACTTTATATTTCTTTAATGTCATGTTTGTTATTTTATGTGAAGAATCTGTGTAGTATATCAGATAAGCAATAAAAGGGAAACATCAACTGAAGTCCAAAGCCTGCAAGTCTAATCTCCTGATCCTTACCTTATTTGTTTGTTTATTTACTTCATTTCTTAGAAACCTGTTGCTAAGGCTAAAGCAGAGAATACTTGATTAATTTTGCTCTTATGCATTGTTATTATTTGACACTGTTTTATCACCTTAACTGGACTGTATTACTCCCATGTTGTTTTTATTTATGTAAGACTGTTTCTGCATTTTATTACACTCTATGCCATTAAGAGTTCCTGAAACAGAACTGAACTCCTTCATTTCTACTCAGCCTTTCTCCCCACTGGGGACACGGAATGGCTTACATTGTTCTCCTCTCCTTGATTTTATCCTCAAAACACCCCAGTGAGGTCAGTTAGGCAGAGATTGTGTGACCAGCCCATGGTTACCCAGCAGTCTTCCATGGCAAAGTGGGGGTTTGAACCCGAGAGCTAAATCTAATTGGTGTCAATGGGACTTAAGGCTGCATCCCACACAAGGGAGTAAGCCCATTATTTTGATTTTTTTAAACAAATGTTTCTTTCCAAGGTGACTTTAAAAAAACCCAGATATCAGGTAATCAATGTGACAATAAAAAGGGGGTTTGGATCCTACTGGTATTTTTTATTTCCCCCTCTTGCTGCAGATCTCCCACTAACCCCTGATGGTGTTCCTGGGGTTCCCCTGCCCCCCTAGGGGAAGCATCTGGGCATTTTGGGGTGCAGCAGGAGGGGGAGGTGAGAAAGTTACCTTACATGGACAGAAATCATTCCATCCCTGGCTATTTTCTCAGGGCTCCAAGTGATTAAGATCAGCAAAAGTGCCTGGAAACTTGTCATTATACAGGCAACATCTCAGCAGGACAAAAATAACTAACCTCACTTACTTCTGATCAGGGGAAGGAGAAACACACACATGCACACAGTAAGATCAAACCAACCAGGCAACATAAATAGATCAAGTAAACTCCAACATGAAGAAAATCTTTTACCTGATACCAGGGCTTTTCTTTTTTTAGAAAAAGCCCAGCAGGAGCTCATTAGCATAATAGGTCACACCCAACAGCAGAAACTCATTAGCATATTAGGCTGCACCCCTGACAGCACAGCTCATTAGCATATTAGGCCATGCCGCTATGCCTTCCCTTGGCTTGCCCGGGCGCCTCGCGGCTGCGGGGAACCCAAGCAAGCCTCCCCTTGAAGGGAAGGGAAGGCAGTTTAAACTACAGCCTTGACAAGACTTGGCAACCCTAACCCTTCAAAAGAAATTCTTGGAGTATTGCTATGGAGTCTTTCCCCACACTCTTCAGTTTTTTAAGGATGGGAAACTGGAGCAGGGAGTGGAGAATTTGGAAGGCTATCTAGGCCTAACTGTCTGTCAGCAGTTGTTCTCTAGTTTTGCTAGTAGCTTAATCTTTTGGTTTCCAATAAAGTCAATTATAGCATCATGTTCTATGTGTGTGTGTAGCCAAGTACTTAATACCTCCTTCCCTCCTTTCCCACATGTAGCTAGGCTTACCAAATTGCAAATGAGAGGGAGAAAAAGAGAAACAACAGCTGAGAGGCTTGCCTTATGTTGTTTCTGCTATAAAGCTTTTGAGTATGCACACATTTGCATTATCAACATGTTTTTATTCCTCTGGGCTGTTATTTATTAAAACATTTATATCCCGCCTTTCCTCTTGGTTCAAGGTGACTTATAATAATAGTTAGAACACTCTTAGCTATAATCAAAGATAAAATAACAAGCCCCAAATCCCCTCCCCTTAAAAGATTCCTGATATTCCGACCCCCTCAAAAGCCCTGGCAAAAAGGCAGGTCTGGCAGCTAATGAGTCAGGAGAAATTCAAATTACCTTGCAGTTCCCAGAGTTTATGCTGTTAAGTGTCCATGGGGCCTTTGTTCAAAACATGGAAAGTTTTACGTAAGAGATTGTATTTAAGAAGCATTGCTTGGGGGCACTAAAATGGATGGGTTACTTATAAACACGTCCAACTGATATAGCCACAGTAAAGTTTCTTTCATTAAGGAATCAAACTGGCTAACTTTCCCCCCAGGTTAGTCTCCTAATATGCAGATTTATCTCTGGATACTGTTTTTTCTCATAAAGAAGACTGTTATTCATTTGATCTCATGAAATTACGTGGGCTAGTGGGCCTTAAAGTTTTGGTGTTTTACAGATATAGCAGTTTATTGCTTGCAAAATGCTCAGCCTAACAATAGCAATAAGGAAAGCACATCAAAGTAGTAACCAACTGTGGGCTATCCATTATTCATTCTCTGTATTCATTCTCTATAAGTAAGATAAGGTGTATTGTTAAAGAGAGATCTGTATTAGGGACAGACAAATGTTTTGGCCTAAATGCCAGAATCTCTGCCATATCTCTGTGTAAAGACATTGGTATTCCAGTAAACAAAATATGGGCTAGGGAGAAATAAGAGTTCTACTTAATAAGACTTACTAAGAGCAAGTTGAGCCCCAACGGTGTTGCTGGGACCATTAGGGCTCACTGTAGGCTCTGGATGGAGAATGAGCTTGCTAGCCTACAGCCTGGGGGTAGGGAATTTCCCACCCCTGGCTCTCATTTCCTGCCACTACCTCTGCTGCAGCTGGTGGGAGGAAATAAAAATTTAAAAAATCACCATCAGCAACAGCGTGATGTTACTTCTGGGGAAAACCTCGAAGTGACATCAGTCCTCTCTAGGAACCACCAGAAACACTTGTCATTTTACCATAGAGTTTCTGGTGATTCTTAGAGAGGCATGATGTCACTTCCAGGTTTTCCCCTGAAGTGACATCACACCATCGCTGCTGGGCTCCACCATATCCCCACCCTTCCGTCATCGGTCCATGCCTGGCAATCCTAGTGGAGCCCTGCACACCAAGTGAACTGATCTGGTATGCCACGGTTCA